CCATGAGCATGGTATGTATGTTCTTCCATTTGTTAATATCTTCTTCTTTTTCTTAGGGTTTTGTAATTTTCTTTATAGGGGTCCTTCATCTCTTTTGTTAGTTATGTTCCTAGGTTTCTTTAAAGCTACTATAAAGCTTAAAAAAGCCAAAATGTGGAAACAACCTAAATGCTCACCAACCCAGGAACAGATTAACAAACTGTGGTATATGTATACCATGGAATACTATTCAGCCATTAAAAATATGGAACCTTTACAACTTTTGTATTAACCTGGATGGAGATGGAATACACTTTTCTTAGTAAAACGTCATAAGAATGGATAAGAATCCAATGTACTTAATTCTAATATGAAGGCAGTAGATGAGCTAATACAAGGGGAAGGTAAGGGAATGATAGAGTGGGGAGAGGGATCACATGGGGGATCACAATATATATAGCATACCTCTTCGGGGTGGGACACAATTATAAGAGACTTTATCTAACAAATATGATCAGTGTAATCTAATTTTTGTATCCTCAATGAATCCTCCCCCAAAATATTCAAAATTAAAGCACTGTAAGTATGAAAAAAAAGGAAAAAAAAAAGAGATAACATTACAATTGATCCCAAGGAAATGAAACGATCATTACAGACTATTATAAACAACTATATACCAATAAAATGGAAGGCCTAGAGGAAAAGATAAATTTATGGGCACATATCTGCCAAGATTAAATAGGAAAAAATTAAACCTGGAGAGACCAGTGACTAATGAGATTGAACCAGTAGTAAAAAGACTTCCAACAATGAAAAGTCCAGGACTTGATAGCATTATCACTGAATTCTACCAAAATTTTGAAGCCCTAATACGAATTCTTCTCAAACTTTTCCAGAAAATTTAATAGGAAGAATTCTTTCTAATTCATTTTATGAGACCAGCATCACCCTGATACTAAAATCAGGATAGGACACAATGAAACTACAGCCCAATATCCCTGATGAACATAGACACAATCCTCAAATACTAGCAAACTGAATCCAACACCATATCAAAAAGATGATACACCACAATCATGTGGGATTTATTGAGGGATGCAAGGATGGTTCAAAACATGCAAATCAATAACTGCGATATATCATAGTGACAGAATGAAGGAAAACTATCTTAACAGACCCAGAGAAAGTATTTGATAAAATTCGGTGTTCCTTCATGATCAAAACCCTAAACAAGCTAGGCATTGAAGCGATATACCTCAAAGTAATGAAGGCTGTAGATGAAAAACTC